AAGGGAGGGAAACACGGTGCGGACCTGACACCATTTGAAGGCGGTGTTTTCTTTCCACAATCTGCCCCAATATGAAATACTCTCCTAAAATCGTTTAAATCAGCCCTTGTTTCTCCAGGGACGGAAGCAAGTTTGTGTCATTTCTTGTTTCTGCTCGGAGCCTGCTGGCGTTGACTCTGGAAGAACCTTCAGGACAAAGCTCAGGTCCTTGGCATTTGTTTCCAGGCAGACTGAGGACCGAGAGCCAGAGCAGCTGGGAGGTCTGCTCGGAATTACGTCAGCATGAAAAGGCACTTGGCTCTGTGCTTCTCCAGGATGTGAACAAATTCTCTGCCAGCCTGAAAACAGCAGGGCTTACGCCCCCAGCCTCTTTCTCCAGAATGCTTCTCTTCTTCCAACATGAGCTGAGTTCATTTTTATTTCACCATCAGTGGTCAATTCAAGATGAAAACTTTAATGCATGCACTAACACCGACATAGCCTCCTCTTCTACCATCTGGCTGGGGACCTGCTTACTTTGGAGGTGAAACAGGTTCGTTTCTCTAAGTTTGCCTATCTCTTTCTCCTATGCAATTAAGCCAGTATGTGCCTGCTGAAACATGTTGTCCAATGACAGAATGATTAAATAAATTACAGCATCTATAGTTTGATTCCAACTGTAGGAAAATACACACACAGAAAAGGCTGGAACTGAAATTCATGAAAATAGTAACAGTGGTTTCATCTCAATTGCCATCTTCCACAGACTTACATCTTCGTTCTTGAATGACTTTGTGTGTATTAGTCTATGGTAAGTAAAAAAATTCCCTTCAATGATAAGATTTTTCACTAAATATTACAGTTTTATTTATTTACTTGGAGTAAAACAGTCCAAAAATATAAGTACAATCAAAGAACTATTATTTTATTAGCAGAGCCCTAACAGCACCACCCCCATTTAAATATGGGAATAAACCAGCAGGCAAACATGCAGACCTTAATGGAACGGGCTGGGGAAAATGTTCACGATACAGAGATATGTGAAAAAAGTAGGTTTCAAGATGGCATGTGCACGATGCTCCATTTTGCTTTGTAAACACACACACACACACACACACACACACACACACACACACACACACAGAAATGGAAGATGCCCTCCAATTTGTCGTAGGCCTGACTCCGGGGGTAGGATCGTGCTGGACATATATCTGCATGTGTGGGTGTGTGCTTTTCTGTATTTGCCCCTATGAACACGAACTGTTTTCATATTCATTAAAATATAATTAAAACCTGGCAATGTCTTCAGAAATCATCAGTGTGAGAGCAACTCAGCACTCCTAAAAAGGAAATGAGGCAGAGAGGAGAGTGTCTTTTGTTAGGAAAATAATGCTGCTCTTCACAGAGTAACAACAACTCCAGGGTAAGGATTTCAGAAAGGGTCCTTTCTGTGCCGCACTTCTGGGTTAATTAATGGCTGGATGAGGCCTTCATCCAAAGCCCACGTGCACCTCACTGGGAGATGCTGACGTGGCAGGAAAGGAGGCCAGCCCTGGAGTTAACACCAAAACACTCCGTGCTCCTCCCAAGGCCTCCCAAGTGGCCATGGGGCCTCTTTCCAACGCTCTGTACTTGTCACCCTAAGCCCTCTGCACATCTTCTCAGCCTGCCCACAAGGCAGACTCAGAAACAAGCCTTCCTCATAATGCTGAAACTAGTAACAGCAAAACACTGCTTAGAGGTCTCCACCACCAGTCAGACGATGGACATTAAGACAAACAGCACAATTTTTCTTTAACATTTCTTCTCCCCTCTACATAGTGAAATGCAAATTCACATCACCAAGATTTCACAGCAGATTGTCTTGGGAGACTATGACAGCCATTGCATCCACATACCAGTAATTTTCTAATGACTTTGGTCTTTAGGCTAACGCTTCCATTTAGTTTGTAAGTTAATTTACAGTTTTAATTATCTCTAAGACCGAGAGGCTGGAAACAGACTCTCCATAATGAGCACTAGGCCTTCAAACAAATTTCAGGTATGTACACGGGTTGGTCATGGAGCCTCTAAAACACTGTGATTTGTACCCACATATGCAGGATTTATTTTGACCTTGACGATTCTCTTTCCTTAGGTTGTTGAGTCATAAGCGAGGTCATATACTCGTTTCTCACATATAATATGGTCTCTGTTTGAAGAATCCACCCAGGGGCTTTCTCTGTAGATAGAAAGGCAGGCGATGCCTCATGCACTGAGGCGGCTTGGATCTCAGAAGTCTTGGTGTTACAGCATGTTTTGATGTGTCAATTTAAATGAATGACAACACAAAAATATAAAGACAAACACTCCAAGCACTGTGAGCCAAGCTATTCGACGAGACTCTTAATATCCTCACGTTTATGTCAGCAAACATAGGAATAGCATTTATTAATCAAATGGTCAGCAGATTAAATTTCCATGGCCCCAACACTGATAGGATTTAAAATATAAAATCAAATACTGACAGCATCAGTGAGTTGGGTTTGTCAGTCAGGGTACCACAGACCTTTGGGGACCTAATAAATCCTCCCTATGAGGCTGCCCTGGGCACTGGAGGGGGCCGAGTAGCACCCTCGGGCTCCACCCACTAGATGCCAGGAGCACCTACGTGAGAACCCCCAAGTTAGGGCAGTTTCCTAGGTCCAGAGCCATCCTCTGTACATGCAGGAAGGCCCTCAGGTCCCCGAGCCTTGCCTCCCTGACCATCTGCAGTGCCTGCAGTAAGCACCCACAACTTGGGTGCTGTCTTAGCCAGACCACAGGCCTCGCACAGCTGCCCTTCCAGGGGTCCTCCACCTCAGAAGGCAAGTCAGAAAGGCAGCAACAGACCACCCGGTCGGCACACTGCGGCCTCCAGGCTAACCCCCACCTGCGGCTTCCTTTGGTAAAGCCTGTGAGCTACAAAGGCTTTTTACATTTTTAAATGGCTGAAAAGAAAATCAAAAGAATCCAATTTTGTGTCCCATGAAATTGATACACTATTCAGATTTTCAGTGTCCATAAATAAAGTTTTATTGGCACTTAGCCATGTTCGGTTCATTCACTGGAGGATCCACAGCTGCTTTCACACCAGAAGAGCAGAGGTGAGGGATTTCAACAGACAACACCTGGCCCACAAAGTGTAAGCTACTTACTCACTCTCTGGCCCTTGACAGAGAACATAAGCTCCCCAACACCCCCAATCCCCTGCTCTCTGTTTTCTCAACTCTGGTGAAGATTTTCCCATCTCTACATGAGGGAACAATGGCCTTGTCCCTTCCCGGCTTGAAAGCTTCCTGCCTGGTAACTACAATGTGGACGCTCCCTGTGAACACACTAACTACTTTAAAATTGACAGTCAAGAAAATACCACCGCCACGGTCTGCTGGGAATGGCTTCCAAAGGAGGGGACGTGTTGAAACTGGTAGGTCTAGGGGAAGCAGGTATTAGCCCTCGCTTTCTGATGCACAGAGCCCAATACTGAGGGGAGAGGGCACGTGCTTTCCCTATGACTACGGGTGTTACTGACGATGAGCCAGAGATGCTGTGGTAGGTAACTACCAGAGTGCGATTTCCCACCATGATCCCAAACGACCTTGTTACATGTCCAAGCTGCATAATGAGTTATCAAAGGCTACAGAAAAATCCAAAGTCCCCTATCTATAAAGCTAAACTCCAATGCCTCACAGAGCAGGACGCAATTCAATTCAATGGAGGCTGATGTTTCCTCAGTACTGAATTAATGCCCACTCAAAACACTGAGCAACTGATCTCCTCTTCTATCTTCCCTCTAACACTTGGAATACGGTCCTACAGCATTTTGAAAAATACTGACTGATGGCACGCAGCCACTCTAGAAAGGTCTGATGGTTCTTCAAAGTGTTAAACAGAATTACCATTTGACCTAGCAATTCTACTCCAGGTATAGACCCAAGAGAAATGAAGATGCACATCTGCACAAAAATGTTCAGTGCAGCATTACTCATAACAACCAAAAGGCAGATACACCCAAATGTCCATCAATTGATGACTGGATAAAGAAAAGGTGGCATATCCATACAATGGAATGTAAGTCAGCCATAAAAAAAAAAGATTCATGCTAAACATGGCTGAACCTTGAAGGCACGCTAGGTTAAAGCCATTCATGAACTCAACTTCATTAACATTTTATAAATTTTTGTTTTTATTAACGACACTTCAAATGTTTAAGTAAACTATTAAAGTCTTCTACATGCTTACTTTGTGAAAACAATCTTTGTATATTTGGTTAAAAAAAAAAAACCTCAGTAAGATCCTAGTTTAGTTAAATTTAGGTCTATCATTTTAGTTCTGTTTGGTTCTTTTAAAACAATGAAGCAAAAATCTTCCCTAAATTTCCATCTGTATGTTTTTAATATTACAAAAGTTCTGTATTTTTTTCTCAAAAACAAAACAAAACAAAACAAAAAGGAAATACTAAAATAAAAGACTAAAATCCCATCTACCAAAAGGCAATGTTACAGAACTTATTCTTGGTGGCAGGGGGCTGTCCATCTGTTTTAGTTTGGGATGTGGGCTCCAACGCCTACGTACCCATTGATTGTTTGGTTTGCTCTTCTGGGTACCTTACTCATCTCACTAGACAGATGAAGAGTAATCTATGTATTTTTCTAATAACTTTCAAGGTTAACTACCAAATCAATCTGCAAAGAGATACGAATCATATTAAGAAACCAACAGAGCACAGAATTATGATAGGAAACCAAATAAAATCTATACTCATGTACCCAATTATAATTAATCTTTCAGCTTAATTTTAACTCACAATTGAAGAGTGACTTGATTTTAGTTGAAAAGAGGGATTGATTTTAGAAGGAGGCATCCTCTCCCGGTAAGACCCAGAAAAGTTTGCAATAGCTGGTTCAGAAGCCAAAACTCTTAGAAGGCAATAAAAGGCCGATTCATCATGTAGAGTTGACTATATATAGCCCATAATGATTTAAAGAAGCTGTATCTATTACCTTCAGTTTCAGCAAGGAGAAAGGCCTACAACTTCCTCCTGAAAAAACATTTTAAAACAGAACATGTTCAGTTTTGGCAAAACACAGTTCTTCTCAAACAGATCTCGGTAGAAGGACAAAGATCCAGGGACGGGGCGGTAGGGGTCTTACCTTTATAGTGACTTCATGTGTGGACCTTTGGACCAGTCAGCATCCGACCATACAGACTGCCAAGTGTCTGCCAAGACCTGATGGGGTGAGAAACAGGGACATTTGAACATAAACAAACAACCACTTTAAAATTCCTCGGGAATTATTCCTGCTAACCTCTCTTCCAATCGATGTTTTCTCTTTATAATCAATGACATTGTTTTCTCTTTCATCCCAACTGAAACTTAACACATTTTACTGTTTCATAATTTCCATCTTAAACTTTAACCCACACTATGTACTTTCACGTGCAAAGTGAAAAAAGGAGCAATTAAAATGGCCAGTTGGCATTATTATATGTGTAGAAATTCTGCAAGGGAAGACTCTTAAAGTAAATACATTTAATTTTACCTCACATATTGCTGCTACTATCATTTAATGATAATTAATGCCCATTTGAAATATCTTTCTTCGCCTTAGGGGCTGTATCAGAGGCAGCCGCTGAATCCAGCTGTACACACCCTTCACAAACTTTCTGCCCATCGCTGGAGCTGACATTGTCGATGATCGTGGCATGCACGTTTGTGTGTGTATACTTACTATACACCCACTCTCTAATGTTGTGCTCATAAAAACAGAGCAACATTAGAACCTTTTTTTCCTCCTCTGGCTTCCCTAAAATAAAGCAGAAGAAAGGCACTGATGAATGTTTCCATCCATTTCCATCTCACAGAGGTGCCGTCATTTGCACTGATTTCTAAAGAAGCCAGACTTCCAGCCGCTGAGCTCATCCTCTACATCAGAAACTTGTTGCTATTTTCCAGTCCGTGTAAAATAAACATGAAGTAAGTCAATTAGCATTTACTTAATGATATTTACCTTCTTGATAAAATTTCTTTGGCTGGGAATGATACAACCTCCTGCAGTTTAAATTATCTACTATCATTGACAAGCTCAAGAATGAAGAAATTAAATGCCACCATTTTCTCTAAATTCTTGTTCAGCAGTCTTAAGTGATAATAAAAAGGTGCCGGGTTTAATGTGATTCAAACCCACAAGCGAAGCTATGAATGAAGGTTTACTTATTAGTGAATTTATATAGAATCTCATGAAATGTTTTAAGGAAATTGAAGTAAATTATTCCCAAGTCATGTTTATAGTTACAATCTTCGAAGAAAGGATAGCAAAAAGATTCCACACGCAGGTTCATACGCATTACACTACATTTTTAAAAAACACCAAAAGGATATGTAAGATGAATAACCTGGGCAACTACAAAAAAAAAGAATCTGCCGGTAAAGAAAAATAATGACACAAAATTCCTGTACAACTCTTTGAATAGAAATTAAAGGGCAGCAGCAGGGTCAAATAAACATAATGGAATACTGATTTGCTTATAAAACTTAAAAAATTTCATTATGAAGAGCACCTTTCTGTTTTCAGGACCGGGTTGTAAATTACCAGGCAGAAAAATAAACAGCCTTCTGATGAAATTGCTAAATGCCATATACAGTCTCAAAATATGAGCATATGTCACTACAATGAGCCCCAAACTGCTTGGAAATTAAGACACTAAAATCCATAATAATTCAACATGTAACTAATATATAAATAACTCTTATTACAAGCTGTTCAGAAATGAGCTTTAGAATCAAATTCTTATTCTTTGGGCCAATGCAGATGGTAACTCACAAACTAGAGTCCTGGAATTAAGATTATCTTTTATATATGTTGTTAAACTTGGTAAGTGTAATTAATATCATCTGTGCGTGATAAATGCACAAAAAGGGGGAAATATGACTTGAGTTAATGATGTTCTGGTTATGCAACATGTCAACATTAATTGGTTTATTACTAGAAACCAGCAATTAAAATGAGAACTTTCATTGCTGGTTTTGACATTACTGGTACCCAAGTAGAACCACTATCAATAAACAGTGCTGGCAAAAAGTTCACGTATCCCAAAATATTTGGTGCGAAATGCAAATGATTTTAACAAATGCAATACATTCTTTATTCTCAAAGATTAGAAATAGAAAAAGGACTCTAAATTTTCTGGTTGCTCTCTCTCTGCATGGCAGGCATAGACATAGACTACCAGTCCTTCCATGTAGGAGGCACAAAGCCCTTAGGGCATTCAGTGTTGTACGGCTGCCCTCTCTGTCAAGTCCCAAAACAATTCTTCCACTCCAAAAGGAATCCTGGTACGCCTTCAGCAGCTCATCCATCCATCAGTCGAAAGCATTTGGCTCATGATCTTAGGGCTGTTGTGAGCAGTGCTGCTGTGTACATCCGTGGACAAGCATGCGTTTGCACCTCTTTTCCATCTCGTGGGGGGACTACCTTTCTCCTCCTTTGCTGAAGCCTCCCCTTCTAAGACTGCAAGGTGGAAACAGGGCAGGCGGAGAAGGCCAAGCTGCAGCGGGCTGGGATCTGGGAACACAGGGACCTGGGGACAGGAGCTACGGTCCAGGTCTGCAGGCAGGCGGTCTGTGCGGGACGGAGCCAGGGAGCCAGCCAGGCAAAGAGCTACACCTGGCGGGTGACCGAAGCCGGTGCTCTGTGCAGCATGCACAAGATGAAGAGTGCGCCGTTTCCGTGCTGGGAGCACACCAAACCACTCCGGATACTCCTCGAAATGGAGCAGGCCACCGGAGAAACTGGAGTTTTGTGTTGTTTTGTTCTGCCTTTGGCCCTGGTTTTCATTCTAACCACACACACCCCTCCACCCTGGACCAGTTTAGCACCAGTTCCAAGTTTGGATTTGTCCACACTTCTGGCCAGGTTCATCAGGACCACCTGCACTGACGCTGGCTGCCCACACACCTTCTCACGCTGCAATCTGACCACAACCCGCGTACGTGATCCCTAACGACAGCATGCAGTTAGCATCGTGTGCCCATGCTTTAACACAGCGGTTCTCATGGGGATGACTGCCCTCCGCCCCAGGGGCTTCTAGGCAATGTCTGGAGAATTTCTGGCTGTCACAACGGGAAGAGGGGGACGCCACTGGCACTGTGAGTTGATGCCAGCAAACATCCTATACAACTCACAGGACAGCCTCCCCACAAGACTGACCTGCTCCAAAATGCCAAAACGTCAAGGCTCATGATCTTAGGGCTGTTGTGAGCAGTGCTGCTGTGTACATCCGTGGACAAGCATGCGTTTGCACCTCTTTTCCATCTCGTGGGGGGACTACCTTTCTCCTCCTTTGCTGAAGCCTGAGAAACTTGATTTTCATAGAACAGATTTCAGAATCACTAAGTTCATCTCGTCATACCTCTGCCTGATTTTAATTGTGACAGATCAGATGGTGAAATAAGCCTGGCACACAGTCTTAGATTCAGCAAAAACCATCTCGGGAATATTTTCATAGACTGTCATAATGCTTCCTTCATGGTCGCCCAGCTTATACAACAGAAAAAATAGTTCATATGGATCACTAAGCCAAAGTGATAAACATAGTTTTTTAATTAAAGTATCCTTGATACACAATTTTATGATGGTTTCACATGAGCAACATTGTGGTATCAATATTCGCCCATATTATCAAGTCCTTAGCCGCCCTACTGCAGTCACTGTCCATCAGCTCGGTAAGATGCTACAGTCATTGTCTTCTCTGTGCTGTACTGCCTTCCCCGTGACCTACCTCTATTGTGAGTGGGAATTATAGTGCCCCTTAATCCCTTTCTCCCTCCCTCCCCACCCCTCCCCTTTGGTAACCACTAATCCCTTCTCAGAGTCTGTGAATCCACTGCTATTTGATAAACATACATTTTTACTGATCACAAATTAAATGCTTAACTTCATAAATATGGATTCTATCTCTTAATAAACAGATTCAAATTTGTGTAGTAAAATCCCTTTAATTGCTCATAGAGAGGCCAGCCTGGAGCAGAACTGAGGTCTCCTGCCATGAGCACCCTATGCTGGCCACGTGCAGGAGGCACCGTGGAAGTGGGCCTGCTGGCCCCAGTGACACCCTCGCAATGGCGGCTGCAGCTGACATCTTCAAGGCAACTGCAGAGATGGCAGCCAGAACCACCCCGCCACGTCACACCACTGTTCCTGCTCTCAGATTTGAACACACTGTGAAGGACGGTGGGAAGCACACCCGGGGCAGGGGCTTCTTCAGCACATGCCTCTGTATGACTACCCGTAGGGCTGGCACGAGGATGCACAGAGGGGCTTCCAGGACACCCAGGACCAAACAAACAGTCTACGTGAGCAGGCGAGTGTTGGCCATACTGTCCAGAGCGATGGGCTCTTCCAGGGGGAGAGCATGCATTTGGTACGTACCCCTGAACAAGGCTTCTGCACTCCAACAGGATGGCTAACACTGGGCTGAATGAGTCACTAAAAAATAACAACAGTTAACACGTAATTTGCACCTATTGTCTGCCTGGCCTGATTTTGTGTGCTTCCAACTCATGTAATCCTTTAAACAAAGAATCCTACCTACCAGAATCTCACCATGTGCTTCCACTGACGTACCCCAGGTACCCCCCCACACACTGTGGCTCACATACAATAAATCATCGCTCTCCTGTCACGATGTTCTCAGCTCGGAGTCGTAGGCAGCAGGAATTTGGGAGCCACCTTCTCCCAGGAGCTTTATGCTCACGTTCCCAGGGATGATGGATAAACGACTCTATGTGCATTCAGTACGCTATGCTTTGCCCCACTCTCCCCCATTTCCCTCTAAAAGGCTTTTCAGCAGCATGCTAACAATCGAAAGACAATTTTCTGATTGACTTTGAATACATCAGTCACGAGACAGTCCAATAAATTGAGCTTTTGCTGGGGCAAGAATGTTCGCCCAAAGAACCTGAAAACCAATGTGTGTTTTTTTCTAGACTCTGGAAGCCTGAAATCTAAAGTTGACAGCACTTGGCTAAAATGAAGGCATGAGTGTGCAAAAATGGTAATGACTTATAAAAATAAATGTTACTTTTAATATTATAATAATGTCAAGAAATAGGGCAGCTCTAGATAAACCCTCATCCAATGGGAATTAAAATCAGGCCATCATTCTCATATCTCTTCAGACTCACCAAACTAGGAAAATGGGTGCTCGCGAGGTGAAAAGTCACAATGC